TCATATGGTAACTTTATGTTTGACATTTTGAAAAACAGCCAAACATTTTTTTTACACCTTTAAAATCTGTATTAAAAGGTAATTTTAAAACTTCAAAATATATGGCTTCCTTCTAACAGTTGTAAACCAAAAATAAAATTTGAAGGCCTCCCCACCCCCACAACCACTGGAATGAAATTCCTCCTCAGCTAGGGCACTCTAAAATCTAACCGGAAGGACTGGTTCAGGCCATGACCGGAAGTAGGGGTTGGACATGCCTCATACTCCTCCAGCATTCACATCAATACAGATCTTAAATTTGATAAGAACATTTACTTTTCTCTCTAAAGCCTGCTATTTGGAGGCTTCATCTGCATAAAACCTAGGACTCCATAACCCCTTATCATAATCCAGATATTCTTTTCCACTGATAATAATTCTTTTAACCAATTGCCAATCAGAATGTTTAAATCTTCTATGACCTGGAAGCCCCCACCTTACATGTATTGAGTAATGTATTCTGTCTTCCTACAATGTATTAAAGCAAACTACCCTGACTGTTTTGGGCACATGTTGTCAGGACCTCCTGAGGCTGTCATGGTATGTCCTTAACCTTGGTAAAATAAATTTTCTAAATGGATTGAGACCTCTCTCAGATCCTTTTTGGTTTATACAGTTGTACAGAGCAGTCTGCTCCTCCGTGATTATGTGTTTATTATATGAAGAGGGCATCATAGTTTAATCCCTGCAGCTTGGAGCTGGAGCATCCTGGGGCTCCAGCTGGCCTAAGCCTGCAGGGGCTGCCATCCAGCCTTCCAGGAGAATCGCAGGTTAGCATCTCAAACTCATGGAGGAAGTTTTCTTCCTGTCTGGCCTAAAATGTTGGCTTTGCTCAATGTTCACATCCCATAGGTCCTGCCCACTCCCTTCCCCTTATGCACTGACCAATGTCTACAGGATGGTGAAAGGCAAAGGCCTAGATAGTTCCGGGGGGTGCTGAGTTCCCACAGTAATACAGAGAAGAAAAGACCAAGTGAGATGTCCACCATGACCAGAAGACCTAGGCAATACTTTTGTGATGGATCAGGTCTCAGTAGCCCAGACTGGGGAAGGCAGAGGGATGAGGAAGGGTGTCTTTGAGCCAGGCAGTAGGGCTGTGGAGGGGAAGAGCCTGGCTTGCCCAGCCAATTGCCCACCTACTGTGTACCAGCTGCTCTGTGTTCAGCTCCTTATTTACCCCCAACTTTACAAAGCAGGAAGCTGAGAGCTCAGAAACCCTTGCTGAGTGTCCCACAGCAGCAGAAGGCAAACCTGAGCTGCAGACTGCATAGGCCGAGTACACCCAGGTGGCCTCAGACCCTGGTCAGCATCCCTACAATCTGAAGTCTATACACTGGCACAGGATCAGAGGACTGACTCTGTTTGCGTTTGCCGGGGCATCCATTCCATATCATTCAGTAGCCTTCAAATAGCAGCACCTGGCCCTGTGCAGCAGAGCGGCTGTCACCGCTATTTTAGAGGCATCATATATTTTTAATAACCAGCAAAATCTCCCTGTGAGAAAGGAAGGAGAGTTGAAATTACAGCCAAGCAATTTGCATTGCGAATCAAGTTATCCTCCCTCCTGCCCTCCAAGAATATGCAGAAATAAATGCCTCCTAATGAACCCTGGGGGGCTGAGGCTTTGATATGAATTCTGCTGTAGGCAGAAAGAGTTCTAGCCAGACTGAGACCCAGCGTGAAGTTGGAGCAGGAGGGCCAGGGCCGTTCCCTTCAGCACAAGGGAGAAAGGAAATTGGATTATCTTGCTAGCAGTTGGGGTTTTTCTATCACTTAGAACCACAGATAAGAGCTCCCCTCCTTCAGATGGGAGGAATTAGATTTAGCCCTATTTAACCAACAGGCTCCCACCCCACTCCATTCTCTCCACCGTGGCCTTGTTCATAACCCCTCCAGCCCCATCCAGACTCCCTGGGTCTACCAGGAGCTCAAAGCCTTTGTCTTTTCCAGAACTTAAGAAGACCTATGAAAGATGGATGGATGGATGGATGGATGGATGGATGGATGGATGGATGGACGGACGGATGGATGGACAGATGGATGGATGGATGGATAGGTAGGCAGACAGACAGATAACCTTTCTATCTGAAGTCAGGTAACCTTTCCTTCTGGATGCCACTGGAAAAATACAAGCTCTTCTGTCCTCCCCCATGGCCTCCATGATCTGTGTTTACTCAGTATAGGAAGGTGTGTGTGTTGCAAGCATGCATTTGTAGGAATGAGCCATATGGGGGGTCTGTCAGCCAAGTGGCTGGGTAGAGTACATGGTATGGATCTGAGGGCATGTGCACGTGGTATTTGTGTGGGCTTGAGAGCATGTGGTAATAATGGTTCATGGAGACTTATGAAAGAGAGGGTAGAAAGCCTGTTCACTGCCCGCCTCAGGCAATGCATAGAGATGGGCACCAGTCCAGCCTGGACAAAGGGAATCTGCAGGAGACCCCAGCTCTCTATTGCTGTCACCTTTCCTCAGAACTACAGACACATCCTACTAATCAAGATTTCTCCTTTCCTGTTGATCCTGCTTGAGAGGGGCCTGGAAGCCCAGTGAAGCTCCTGGTGTGAAATGAGACCTTGTATGCAGAGACAGGGTCTCTCAGTGATTGAGCAAGTGGGTGTGTCCATCAGACAATTCCATTTCAAAGGCCAGATCCACCGATTTGGATAAGTAAAACAGGTTCCTCTATCCCTCCATTTCCTCATTTATACAATACAGAGAGTAAAAAATAATAATAATCCTATTAGGTTGTGGCAAATGCTTATTAATAAATGTGAGTCATTATTGGAGTGAGTAGATTAGCAACTGCTCAACACTTTAGGATCCCATTGTTGCAACTGGCATTGGAGCAAGATGATTTAGCCTTCCAAAGGCGTTCTGAGGGCCAGAGGGTGGAGGCCTGTGGGTTAGGGCCATCCCCAGGGGAATCACTGAATCCACAGTACAAGGAAGGGCTCTGCTGATAAGGGAGCTTTGAGTATTTCTTTGTCAGTGACGGCACAGTGCACAGAATTTTGAGGAACTTGTCTACATCGAAAGAGAGAAAGAGGAAACTATTATGGATTAAAAAAAGAAACACATAAGAGTCATATTAGTCAAATGCAGTTGCGAACACTGACTGGATTGATTTAAATGAATCAAATATAAAAAGATATTTATGGGACAATCAAGAAAATTGAGTAGGTATTAGATAATGTTGAAGAATTATTGTTGGCCAGGCATGGTGACTCACGCCTGTAATCCCAGCACTTTGGGAGGCCAAGATGGGTGGATCACTTGAGGTCAGGAGTTTAAGACCAGCCTGACCAACATGGTAAAATTCCATCTCTATAAAAAAATAAAAAATAAGTAAAAACTTAAAAAGGAAAGAATTATCGTTAATATTTTTAGATGTGACAATGGCATTGTGGTTATGTTAAAAGACCAGCTAGTCTTTCTCTCCTAGAAAATACATTAAAATAGTCATGGATAAAAGAATATGATATTTTGGGTTTAATTTTAAATAATCTAGCTAGTGAGGTGGTTTGGAAGCAGGGAGAAGCAGATGAAACAAGATTGGCAAAGTGATGGTTCAAGAGGTTTCACTGTATAGCTTTCTCTAATTTTGTGTGTTTGGCCATTTCCATAATTAAAATATTGAAAAGAAAAAAAGAAACCCCCTCTGGAGCCGCCCCTTGGACTTGGGCGGCTGCCCTCTTACAGTCTCAGCAGAGCACATGATTCACTCAGGCCCTGGGACCCACAGGGAGAGCCAAGGCTCAGCAGTGCTTTCTAAGCCCTATAAATCAACAAGCACAGCTGAAGCTATTTAGTAGGAAGCTTGTTAATAAGAAAAAGATGGTTTAAATGGGTCATTTTATTGGTGAGAGGGAGCAGAAGATGATGGAGACCAGGGACCCTCTGGCAAGGAGGAGGTTTGTAAGTAGTGCCAAGCTCTCCCTCACAGACAAGAGTTGGATTGCATTAACTCTATCATGCCTCAAACCTTTTCCAGTAGGATGGGGAAACCCAAGGTGGGAGCAACAGGAGTAGGGATGGTCTGAGAGAATGTGCAGAGGAGAGTACCCCTTGGGTTATCCACCCACCAGAGATGCATGAGTCCTTCAAGGAGCAGCTGGGAATTTTCAGATTCTAGGGAGACCACATCTGGAATGGAGCATGGACTCTCACGTGTGACCCAGGGCAGAGAACAGAAGGAAGAAACAGTCAGCTTGGAGTTTTCAAGAAGAGTAATGAGCCAAAGAGATGAGAAAGACCTCTAGACAAGTGGAACTTTGAAGGAAAAGAACCCAAGAGGGAGCCTGAGGGGATCAATAATGTAGTGAAACCAGGTGAGAACAACTGTGATTGAAATGCACGGGAAAGTGTTGGTGATAGTTGTCTTGGGGGATCATGAGACTTAGCTTCCTTAGCCCAAGGACTAAGAAGGTCCAAGCACCTGAGTTCAGGGCTTGGGTAATGACAGAAAGGCAAGAAGGCTGAACTAATCAGATTTGCCATTGACCAGGGACCACTGCATGGGTCACAGGAAGATCACTGAACTTATAGTCAAAAGACCCAAGTTCCAGTAGGCTTTGCCATTTCCTAATGAGAAAACTGAGCAATCAATCCCTTGAACTCTTTCATCCTGGGTTTCCCATTGACTTACAGGATGAATGATACCTATTTCATAGGCTTGCTTTCAGAGCCATATTTGTGCAATAAAAAGTGCCTAGGATTTGGAGTCAAAGGGCCATGGAGCCTTAAGCACGAGCCTAACCATGAGCCTTGTGATTTCAAGCCATCAGTCAATGCCTCTGAGCCTCTATTCCTCATCTGAAAAGCAGGAGAGGAATTCCAGCCTATCACGAAGTAAAGAGAAAATGTAAGTAATCTGCTTAGCACGGTATTTGGCACATGGTAAATACCCAATAACTGTAGGAATTAGTATTAGTGATATGAAATATAAGAACATAAATAAGGAGTGCTTGTTTCAGCAGCACATATACTAAAAGCTGGAACAGTACAGAGATTAGCATGGCCCCTGCGTGAGGATGACAAAAAATTCATGAAGCATTTCATCTTTTTTTTTAAGAAAGAACATTAAATGAGGTTAAATATGGGAAGTCACTAAGAATGGCACAGAGAAAGCAGCCTGGGTGAGGGAAAGCAGCTCAGATCATCTCAGGCTTCTGGTTAAAACGGTGCCTTCCTCAACTCAGCATTTACCATTTGTACTTCTTTTCATTTTGGGGACACAACTGCCTCATTCTAACACAGGCACTCCTCTGCTTTGACCTGCAATAGACATGGTAGTGTCTTTTACATCAATAAGGACTGTTGGTTGACTAAGATCTTTCTCCACAGGGGCAAATGTACAGAAACTATGTCCTGGGCATGATTCAAGACTTAGGAGAAGAGAAAGGAGGGCTTAGAAGTTGGGAAAATAAAGGCAGAATATGGTTGAGTCTTACTCTGTCACCTACACTAGAGTGCAGTGTCACGATCTTGGTTCACTGCAACCTCCACCTCCTGGGCTCAAGCGTTTTCCAGCCTCAGCCACCCAAGTAGCTGGGACTACAGGTGTGTACCACCATGCCTGTCTAATTTTTTGTATTTTTGTAGAGACAAGGCTGGTCTCGAACTCCTGGGCTCAACTGATCTGCCCGTCTCAGTCTCCCAAAGTGCTGGGATTAGAGGTGTGAGCCACTGTGCCCAGCCTGGTTGTTTCTGTTTCTATTTTTATCTTGTATTTAACTGGGTAGCTTCAGAAAAGTTTTTAACATGAACAGTGATTTGTAGGCCAAGAATCATAGCATTGTAGCAAAAAAAAAAAAAAAGAGAGAGAGAAAGAGAGAGCTATTTGCATTGTTAATACTCATGGGTATATATGGATCTTTAAATATGGGCAGGCACACCGCCTTCCTTCCCAGAGTTTGTACCTTGTGGTTGCTGAAGAGACAATTATGACATTACCTTTGCTAAATTAAACAACATCCACTTCACCCACATTTGTTCTTGGTTCCTGCCACACGGGAACAGCCCTCCCTCCCCTGTCCCAGCCTGTGCCCTGGCTGGTCCCCAACCCTCCCACAGAGCAGGAGGTGACCCCAGCTGGGTCTTGGGATGTTTTCCTTTCCGTCTGCCCCGTTGGTCTCCGTATGGTAGACGCCTGGGGTGTGAAACTGGACACCTACAAAGTTGGCCTTCTGGTTTGGGAGGCCTCAAGAGGAATCCAATGGTCCCTCCATTTCCTGTGGATGAAGGATTATGTGATTGAAACAAATCACCCCTCATTCTTCTTTCCAAGTCACACATGCCCAGTGGCTGAAAGTTAAATGAGCATGAGACATCAAATCAAATCTGGGCTGAGACTCCAGAGTTTAAAGAGAAGTGTGGACTTCCAGGATGCTTGTTTGTCTCCTTCCAGCCCCATCCCCTGCTCTAGTGAAAGGAGGGGGCCAGTACCATCCCCTTGTGTAGAAAGAGCGAATTCTACCACCCCCACTTGCTCTTGTTCCTGTTACTTTTCTTCTACTGTCTTCTCTCTTGCAGGCTCATGAAAAGCTCTTTGAGTTTCAAAGAGCTTGTGTCATACAAGCTCACCCGTGCTGGCTGGTGCTGGGAAGGGAATATACATTGAATTAACATGGCACTGTCTATGACCATAGCACCCTGAATGCACCCAATCTTGTCTGAATTAACATGTCACCACAGGCCAGGGTGCCTGGAAGGGCCTGGCGGGAGGGTTTTTTACATGGAAATGAACTGCCACTTGGCTCCTTCTGTAACTAATCACCACTGTTGTTGAAATATTACTCTTTCTGTTACAACCACTAATGCCTTAAATGAGGAACAGGCACTTTGGGGTAACATCAAATACAGGATGGTCACTTCTCATCTGGGATGTCCCAAGCCTCCCAGTGAAGAGCCAGGGAACCTGTTCAATTGCTGTCTGTTGACTGAGTTGGAGCAGCACCAGCAACCACTTGACTGCTGTTTAAACCAGGGCTTCCCTGATGATGGTTGTGGAGTATGGAACCTCGAAGGAGACCTATAGGGAAGTGAATGCAAAGGACCTGAGTCCCAGAGTCACCCAGCCTGAGTCATAGCTTCAGCCCTCCCTAGCTATGTGACCTTGGACCATTACTTGCCCTCTCTGAGCACCTTTTCTCAAAGAAACGAATATACTAACAATCTCACTAGTACTGTTGGGGTTGTCGTGAAAGCTCAAGGTAATGGAGACAGGCATTAGCACAGTGCCTGGCACCCAGCAGAGGCTCCAGCATGCAAGTGGTTATTACGGTTTTGTTGATCTTGGTGTCCGACACCCTTCATAGACTACCTCCCTCCACACACACACACCACGCACAGACATACCCATGTCCTTAGCAAAATAACTAGCCTATGATTTACACCTCTTTCCACTGGCACTGGGTCCTAGGAAACCCATAGCCATGACAATGACCAACAGGGTGCATTTCCCTTCCTGGTTTATAAAGCGCATTGAACATCCACACGCTGCTATTTCATCCAGACCCATCTGGTGGGGTGTATTGTGCATCCTTAAATTCCTTTTTTCAGAAGAGAAAGTGAAGGAGTTAACCAAGGTATTTGGAGTCACATAATTCACAAATGGCAAATCTGAGGCCAAAGTTAACTGTCCTTGCTTCCACTCCAAACTGCCTGTTGGCCCAGCATTCTCTAAAAACAACATGTACCATCCCCCAAGGGCCTGGCTATTTGCTAGGAAGTTAACTCACTTATGGGTGGCAATGTAGAGACAGCTGTCAAAGGATTACCCCTTGCAGGTAAAATATTTGTATTTTGATGGCAGTCTTCTATTTGCTAGGCTTTGATCTAAAGGATTCCCTGTAATGGGTATTTTCGGGTCTTGTGCAGTAAATTACATTAACCCAGTAGGTGATTGTCTTTTCCCTTCTATGCGTAGGATTTGTCACACACATTGAGTCTGTGGACACAGGAAATAAAGGGGAGACATCACAAAATTGTAAAGTGGTCAGCAACCTTTAACTCAGTAGGGTGTAGCCCAACCACCAGACCATTGCCTCCTAGACTTAACCCTCTTGTCTCACCCAGCTGGACTTGGCCACCGGGCTCTGGGCCAAGGGGGAACCAGTTTAACCTTCTGGGCTGAGCTGAGGGAAGAGTGAGCTTTTCAATAACATCCACATCTCCTTTAATCTTAAGAACATTCTATGAGGTTGTGTGCAGCAGGTACCATCTTCCCTTACATCAAGGAGGAGGTTAAGAAGGCTTAACCAAGATGCCCAAGATCCCAGGCCAGCATGCAGTGGTGTCCAGAGTAATCTCATCCAAGTGGTGCCTCTTCTACTCCTTCCTGCAGTCCCTGCACTTCCTGGGTAGTAAATGAGGAAACCACAAGTTTATCCTCCCAGAAGTCTGGTCAAGCCTTGTCTCTACAGATGGAACAGTGAATCAGGGAGACTGGTAGAACCCACAGAGACCGCCTTATTCACCACCACATTGCATTTAGGTGCAGACTCTGGAACTCCACTATGATGTGGATTTGGAGAGGGCTCAAAGACAAACCTCTCCCAAAATGGAGCTATGTAGGAAGAATAGGGGGTCAGGGGTTAACCTGTTATATTCCCTAAGAATGTGAGGGATTCACTGTGGCTACTGTTTTTCCCTAGAACAAGTCAACAGCCTATGGGTTTAAACCACAGCAAGAAGATTCAGGATAGACATTAGAAGGAGCTTTCTGGTCATAAAGGCCACAAAAAGCTAAAGCAGATTTATAGGAGAGGAGAGGAAGCTACTCTTTGGAGATGTATAGGAAAAAGGTTAGCTGTTGAGTAGGACAGCAAAACTCATCTTGGAGAAGAGGATATTGAAGTCTAGGATTACTAGATTTCTCTTTGAGTCTTGCAGCTAAAAACTGCCAAATGATACCATATAAATAGAAAGTATAACTACACTTATTTTTAATTGAATAATCACTGTTTCCAATTTAGGATTATTTCAACAATACCTCTTCTTGTATTCCTTATTTTGACTCTCTAGGGGAAACTTGAAGTTTCCTGGTAATTTATAATTTTAACCACGGTTCTCCTGAGGCAGTAAGTTTATATGGGAAAATAGTTCACTCTGAATCTTCCAACTTTTTTCTATGGTATAATTTGCCATCACACTAAACACACGTGTCATTATCTCATAAGCTCATAATTGCTGACTCCTCTAACCCTGACATCTCCAAAACAGGTAGTTCTCCAAAAGAACACATCGTTGCATTGCCAATGCAAAATGCAAGCACCCCTGTATGCCAGGGGGAGAAGCCAACATTGTTTTAAAAAGGAACTCCCTCCCAGGGATAGAGAAATCAGGCTGCTCTGAGACTCCAGACTCTGATGCTTTCTCCCTGGATTGGAAGTCCCTGTCCATAGATGCAGATGAGGGTGCCGACTTGTTCACAGAGGGCACATGTGCCACAGCCTTTCTGGCAGGTGAGGGGTTGACGCAAATCCAGACACACTCCTGCCCTCTCTCCCTTGTGTTTATGAGATGCCTCCCAGAGGAGTGAGCGGCATCTGGGAGGCCAAATCATCAGCTGGCAGGGCTAAACCTGTGGCTAATTTATCCTGAGCTAGCCAGACAGCACGAAACTGACTGAATCATCCCTCGTGACTACATTACAGAATAAAGCAGCACTTTCCAACATTTCTCACATCATGGCACACAGAGAAAATAATAAGACAATGTAAGACACCGCAGGACAAACAAATGAAGTTGTTTGCAACTAAGTGGTTCCAGCCACTCCTGGCTTTGCCTGGAGAGCCAGTGGCTGAAGGGCTGATATTTTGTGCCCTTTATTGGGAGGTCTAGTGTAGAGCAAAATGGTTAGGGCAGAATAGTGCCAGGTGGGAGAGGGCACTGAAGGTAGATGGCTTGGATTTGAGTCCTGGCTCTGTCACTTATGACCTTGGATGGGATACTTAATCTTTCCTTGCCTCAGTTTCTTCACAGATGTAATGGGCTTAGTAACAGGACCTACTTCAAGGGCCTGTTCTGAGGATTAAGTGAGTTAATCCATGTCAAGTGCTTAG